GGGGGTGCTTCTTCAGCCTGACCAAAACTTTCTCAGAACCACACTTCTGTACCGACACATTTCCTGGAAACAGGAATCCAAGATCTAGTTAGATATCTGGAAGCCGATAGCCCAATAGGCTGGATGCTTCAATCACCGAGACATTCAACAAGATCCCGGTCCTCTCAGATGTGTCAGGGATTGAAGGCACTGGGAGGTTATCCTGCTCACTTGCCACCCTGTGAGAACATATGGAGGACCCGTGAACGGATCTCCTTGGTCTTGGCTCCATAGACCATTGGGTTGACCACGGGTGGTAGTAGTAAATAGATATTAGCCATAATCACATGGAGCAGGGAGGTAGGGCCCCCCAGCCTGTGCACCACTGAGAGCCCAATAAGGGGCACATAGAAGACCAAGACAGCACACAGATGGGAGATGCAGGTGTTGAAAGCCTTGAGTGCTGCCCCCTGAGAAGACAGCTCCAACACAGTCTTCAGGATGAGAATGTAGGAGAAGCCAATGAAGAGGGAGTCCACACCCATGACAGAGAGGATAATGAAGAGTCCGTATACTACATTGACCATGGTGTCAGTACAGGACAACTTCATAATATCTTGGTGCAGACAGAAGGAGTGTGTGACCGTATGTGTTTGGCAGTATGACAACCGCTTCAGGATGAAGGGCAGTGGGAAGAAGAAAACAAATCCCCTGGTCAGGGCAGCTAGTCCAATCTTGGCCACAGTAGGCCCAGTAAGCACAGAGGCATGCCGCAGTGGATGGCAGATGGCCACAAAGCGGTCAAAAGCCATGGCCAGCAGGACAGCTGACTCCATGGCTGACAGAGAATGAATAAGGAACATCTGGGCCAGACAAACATTGAATCCTATCTCCTGGATGCCTGTCAGGAAGAGACTGGCCATCTTGGGCATGGTGACAGAAGACAGGACTAGGTCAATAGTGGAAAGCATGGCCAGGAAGAGGTACATGGGCTCATGCAAGCGCCTTTCCACACGGATGATGAGGACAATGGCCAGGTTGCCCAGGGTGGCCACCGCATACATAAGGCACAGTGGGAAAGCCAGCCAAAAGTGTATGTTAGGCCCCAGGCCAGGGATGCCCACCAGCAGGAAGTATGCTGGATGGACCAGAGTTCCATTTGGAGTAGCCATAACAGGAACCAAGAGCTGAGGCTTCTGCATGCCAGGTCCAGGGTCTACATAGGGGAAAAGGAGAAACACCATTAAGTCACAGCTCAGAGGAGAGAAAGGACTTACAAGGAAAGGGCACTGAAATCATGACGGTAGCAAACAAAAGATTAAGTACTTGTAATTCTGAACTCCAGCCTCTCCGTGCTCTGATTTTCCTTATACACACTTCCCTGGAGATCCCATTAATGTCAGTGTGTGACAGCCCACTCAGAAAAAATGCAACAGCTCTTTTTGCCAGAGCTGAACACTGCTCTTAACCACTTCTCCAATACAGCAGACCTGCCCAGAAGGTTCCACACTGACCCCAGCTCTTCTAGTTCAGGTGGAGTTAAGGCTGGTTTGCATCCAGAGTGTGAGGCTTAGTCTTCAGTTGCCTTTAAGATGCACCCTAACCTGATTTATGGCAGAAAGCAGGGGTTTGGTCTGGTACTGGCTTCGAGAGACAGACTTGTGTTTAGGCTTAAGGAGCATTTCTCAAACTTCCGTGATAGATTCATCTGAGGCAGTTATTGAAAACATAATTCCCCAAGTCTGACTCCAGGCCCAGAGAATCAAAATTTCCAGGGCAGGAAGTCCAGGAATCTGATTAAGAACAGTATCCCTTCTCCCCTGGTGATTTTTGCTTTAATCAAAGAAATTTGTGAAAAGCATTTCTGGTGTTCTGGGAGGTCGGAGGTGGGGATAAAGAAAGATGATCAGCCCCCAAAAAGGAATAGCACAGAATTTTTCATCAGGCCTTCTGGAGACCTGCATGATAGTCCCAGACTGTGCCTGGCTGGGGTGTGACACAGAAACCAGAGGTGGCTGAGGCATGAGAAGAAAAGCAGTCCATGCTGCTGCTGGTGCTATGTAGTTTCCACAGCACATCCTCTCCTGCCACTCTCCTCTCCTCTCCCTGGTGATCACATAATCGCCAGGCTCAACTTCCTTTCTCTCACATACAACTCTGTTCTAAGCCTCTGTCCTGAGACCCAACCCTATAACTTGCTGCCTCTTCGTATTTCTACTCAGCCTATAGGCTTACACTCATCTTGCCCCAAATAGAACCTCTTTCAAATCCAGCTCAGGGCAGCCACTGCCATCTTTATTTTTTCTTCTTTTACCTCCACATGTGATTTTACTTTTCCAACTACTCTATTATGACCTCTCCTCTTACTTAACACACCTGCCTTCCCTCTCTACCTCATTATATCATCCACTCTGCTCTAATTATGAAATGAGCTTCCTAACTTACCCCCACCCCCACTCCAAACCCAGATATTTTAATCTACCTTCTGCATCACTGCCATCTAAGCAGCAAAAACAGACATGTCAGGCTCTGTCTAGCAAGTTACTGGTGGCTTCCATAGCCCTCAAAGTTGGAACCACATGGACTGCACTCAAGGCCCTTTACCGGGTGGCTCCGACTTTACAGCCCAGCTTCTGTTTCTTTTTCATTACTAATCACCACCACCACACATGTATTTGTCCCACACAGATAATTTCCATGGATAAATTCATTCCCCTGGCCTTGTTTCTTCAGTGAAGGGTAGGAGGCTGGAACCGGAGAGTCTTTCCTGGCTCAAGTGATGGACAAGGTTTGGACTGGGCCGCGCAGTGTTTGAAGAAACTCCTCTTTGGATAGATCACTGACCAAGGTCTGGGAGCCCTGGCTGCTGTAATCTGGGAAGTGCGCACGCAGACAGACCTCACCAAGCAACCAAGCAAGCTGAGCAAAGGCCGGCTTGCCTGCAAGGAGTCCTGGCTGGATCTCCTGGGCCAGCCTCCCCGCTCTGGGCGGAACCTGGCTCAGTCACCAATAGTGCCTCCGCCCAAAGCCACCGCGCACATATGGCTTCTCCGGGGCCCTGGGGAGTGTGAGGGATGATGAAGGGTGAATTCCTCCGGGCTCCCTAGGAGCCGCGCTCCACTCAGGCGCCCAAGGAAAACTGCACCCTATACTCCTACCCTAGGTAGCTTCACTCTATTACTATTTATTCTAAGGCTTAGGAGA